AATTTTTATAATAATTTAGATGGTAAGTTATTTTTATTGATTATCAATATTTAATTACACTTGTTACTATAATTTAAAGTCAACTAAATTTTTTATAATAATTTAGATAGTAAGTTATTTTTATTGATTATCAGTATTTAATTATACTTGTTACTGTAATTTAAAATCAACTAAATTTTTTATTTAAAAAAATAAATTTTATTAGTGAGTAAGTTATTTTTATTGATTAACAGTATTTAATTACACTTGTTACTTAATTTAAAGTCAACTAAATTTTTTATAATAATTCAGATTATAAATTATTTTTATTGATTATCAATATTTAATTATACTTGTTACTGTAATTTAAAATCAACTAAATTTTTATTTAAAAAATTAAATTTCATTAGCGAGTAAGTTAATTTATTAATTATTAGTATTTAATTATACTTATTACTGTAATTTAAAGTTAATTAAATTTTTATTTAAAAAATAATTAATAATTAATAATTTAGATGGTAAATTATTTCATTATTTATTAGTATTTTATTAGTATTTTTTACTTATAATTTAAACTTAACTAAAATTTTATTTAAACTTATAATTAATAATTAATAATATAATAGATGGTAAGTTGTTTTTATTGATTATTAATATTTAATTATATATTTTAAACTTATCTTAATATTTTTACTTTAAAAAATATTTAACAATTTTAGCTTGTAAGTTATTTATTGATTATTTATATTATTTAATATATACTTTATTAATAATTATATACTAATTTTAATTATATAAATATATAGATATTAATCAAAGTAAGTTTTTTAATTTAAAAGGATTTATAATATTATTTATTAATATAAAATATTATTTTACTAATTAATTTTTTGAAGTTAGTCAATTTGATAAATTTCAAAATAATAATCAAAAGGATAAAGCTAGTATATGGATAGACAATGCTTTAAAAAATGAAAAAATTAAGTTTATACCATTTAATCAATTAATTAATTCTAGATTACTTACCATTGGAGGATTTGGATCTATTATGAAAGCAACTTGGATTAAAATAGGAACTTATATTATTTATAAAAAATTAACTAATTTACAATCAATTAAAGGTAATATATTGGATGCTTTTATTCATGAATTGCAAATTCATCTGCGTGTTGATTGTAGTGATCGAATTATTCGTTGTTTTGGTATTAGTAAAGGTAATTTATAATTTTATATTTTTAAAATTTTAATTTATATATTAAATGTATTATATTATTTATAGATCAAGAAGATTATCTTCTTATAATGCAATATGCTAATGATGGTGATCTTCAAAATTATCTTGAAAAAAATTTTAAAAATTTAACTTGGGATGATAAAATAAAATTAGCATTTCAAATTGCTGAAGGATTAAATTACTTACATAATGAAAATATTTTGCATAGAGATCTTGTAAGAATTAGCTTTATTTATTTATAAAATTTTTATTTAGTTTTTAAATATTTATTAAATTATTTATTTTAATTTAGCATTCTAAGAATATAGTTATTCATGATGGTAATGCAAAAATTACAGATTTTGGCATTTCTAAAGATATGAATATACAAAATTCTACTATTCATATTGGAACTTTTGGTAGAATTCCATATGTGGATCCAAAAAAACTTTTGGATTTAAAATTTAAATATGAAAAAGCTTCGGATATTTACAGTTATGGTGTATTGATGTGGGAAATTTCTAGTGGAGTTCCTCCATTTAAGTATTTAAATAGTAGAAGTGATCATGAGATACTTTGTATTAAAATTCCTAATGGATATCGTGAAACTACTATAGAAGGAACACCTGAAGAATACAAGGAGCTGTATGAAAAATGTTGGAATTCTATACCCGAAAAAAGACCGAATATTAAAAAAGTATTAGAAGAATTTAAAAAAATGGGTTATGGAATAGATGATAAAGATAATATTCCTTATGAGGATTCAATTTCTATAAAAACTGAAACAAGTATTAAAAATAATTCAACTGAAGGTACATAATTTACAAATTTATATATTATTCGTTTAAATTTATATTATAAAACTTACGACAATAATTTTATTTAGAAATAAAAACTAATGAATTAAACAGTCTTTTAGTTTCATATTCTGATTTAAATCGTAAGTATATTTATTATTTTAAAGATATACAGTATATAAATAATAATTTTGAATTTTATCATAGTTTTAAGCCAACCTATTAATTCAAAATTAGGTAATTATAATAAAATTTGATTTTATTTTTCTAGTAATTAATAATCATAAAATTCTTTAAATAAAGATGACAAAGGCAAAAGAAAATTAGAAGATGATAACAAAAGTGTTAAAAGAAGTAAAGTATTCGAAAATAATGATAAAATTAATTAAATCTATTATCTTTATTGAAATAAGTTTACTTAGTTTTTGTATCTAAGGAACTAAAATCAAGTACTTTATGAAAATAGTAGCATTTATAAAATATAAGTAATATTTTTTATTAAAATTATGTATTTATATATACGATATGTTTGTTTTTTAGTAAATATTACGAAGATATCAATAAACTTTAAAATATTTTTCATTTTTCGTTAAATTTGGGATTGAATATTTTAAATTTTCAATCATTTTTTTTTTAATAGAGTATATTTTTTTAAATAATTATTTTTTTATAAAATATTATAAAATTGGATAATTTATCTCAATCAAATTTCCTTCAACATTTATTTTTAATATTCGGTGTGCCACGATTGGAATAGGATTAATTTATTATCTCTGGATTTATTTATACCAAATCCAAAATTACGTGACACTCGGTAATGTCAGGTAATCGGGTTATTGGAAATATAAATATAATTCTTTTTAAGAATAGATAAAATAGGCGTTATTTACTTGATTTTTTCACATATCGATAATGTCATATTAAACTAAATGAACATTGCTTGGCAAACTTCATATTACTTCTCTTGTTTTACAAGTGTATATTTGATCATATGTGTTTTGACAATCTATGAGACAAATTGGAAAGGAAATTCCAAAGTAATGTCATTAAATAAAATAATGTTGCATAAAAAAGTTTATTGTAATTTTTTTTATGCTTTTAATATACTGTATGTCGCGTGTTATTTATTTTTTCCAATATCTTGACTACCAAAATTGCCCGACTACCCGGACTACTGGACATTAAATTTACCGATTATATTTGTATTTTGCTATTATTTAAATCACTTTTGAGTCTAATTATTTTATTTCTGATGTTTTATTTTTTAGAATCATTAAAGATGAACGAGTTGTTATTGAATAGGTAAAATCTGTTTCAGTAAGACATATATTAAAAAATGAAATCGTGCTAAGTGTAATTTATTTTTTAAGAAAAAAATTTTTAGTTCTGTTCTAAGTTATTAAATTTAATTTGTTGGTTTGATTTATCCAAAATATAGTTAAATGTTGAATCATTCACCTGTTGAATAAATTTTCAAAATATTAACTGATTTCTCCAGTATTTCCGTATTCAATTAATTGATCAAATCACACTTCCCTATCAGTATACTTTTAAGAAAAATTATATCGTTACTTCTAGACAGAATTTGTATCATATAGAATTCTTTTTGCTTTATTTTTAAATAGAGGAATTTTGTTATTTTCTCTTAAGGCCTATTATTAACACCAAGTCGAGTGGAGTAGCAATAGGTAGATTATTCGTAATTCTTAATAAAATCTTGTTCCTGTTAATTATCGCTTGATATAATTTTGTAAATTGATCGACATTCTTAAGCCTCTTCTCTGTAAGAAATATTTTACCTTCTCACATAAAGTTAGAAGGTTCATTTAATGACACTCGTTTTACTAAACGAACAATCGGCGATTGGTACTAGTTAATTTATTCTTTGCTTTGTTTAGAGACACTCACTTGAATTCGAATATAAAACAGTTCTTTTTCTGATCGCTTTTGAAAATTATAAAAGATTGACTTTTTAAAAGCACGTATTATAAAAAAAAATTATTGTTTCTATAATCATGATATATAAATTTAAGGCTTTATGAATATACATGTAAAACGTACGTAAAGCACGTTCTATTTACGAATAATTTTTATTTAAAAAGTGCTTGTAAGTATATAACATCAAGAATAAAATGATACGTAAAGATTTTAGTTTTATTTTTGTATGACTTTAATAACCTTCGGATCATTTCATTTTTAACTTGATGTTTCGTGATGTATTAGAATGTATAATTTTCTAATAACCAAATCCATTCATTATGCTAGATTAAGCTGACTGCATCACGATTTCATGTCTATACTCTAGTTGTTTTAGTTCTTTCCATAGTTGGATTCCTCTTTATTCTATGATTATTATTTCTACTTTCTTTTTTTATGGTTTTATTTATGATTGCCCAATTTTATTTCAATAAAATATGAGTAATATGTTATTAAACTGTGCAATAATGACGCAATTCGTCATCATTTATCAACACCGACTGCAGTTAACCTTTAAAATTCATTCATTGTTTTTCAATAACAATAATAAAAAATTATCTCTGATCATATATATTTTAATGGAATTAATTGTTCCCTAAAACGTCCCTTTCCATGTAATATTTGTAATGGTTATACCAAAAATGATTATAATTTATACAAGCGGATAATATTTATTTAAACAGAATAATTTAATAAAATCTAAAATCTTCGAAGTCGAAATTATTCATTAAAATCATATTTGAAAATAAGCTGCATATTGAAACAAATTATGTTTATCTATTTTTTAGACGCACACTTCATGAGATTCAAAAATTAGAGGTCGTGTTTGTCTATTTCTCGACTATGCAGTTTGTTCTAGAAATAGTAAAGGTTAGAGTAGGACTTTTATATAAAAAGAGATGTAGCTCGACCTTGTATTATAAAGAAATATGTAATGTCAATGTGAGAATATGAAGAACTTTTTTACAATAATCATCTTGATATATTTGAACACCAAATTTAGGAAGTTATACCATGTGTTTATTATGGAGTAGGCTTTGTTTCATCATGATCAGATCCGGAACGTTAATCCAGCGCACTTAACAAAGTTTTTTACATGAAAGAGGGAGTCAAGTATGAATTACATATTGAAATAAGGTTGCGGGGTAAACCCTAAATCAATTTTTGCATAAATCGAAACTTTTTGAAGATAATTTTAACAGTTTCGACGGGTTTAGACAATTTCGATGGATTTTGACGGATTTTTGACGAATTTCGATGATTTCTAAATTTGACTGGTTTTAAAAAGTTGGATTGTAATACAATTCGTAGATTATAAAAGAACATAAATAATCATTTTGCTTATTTTTTATTCAAAGATGAAGATACAAATTGAAAATGCTTTAGTGAAATACTAGAGCGGCATGTGCTGCACGATTAGCTGTATTGGATGCTAGCAAAAAAGGATTACAATTTCAGAATAATGAATATTTGGATGAATATACTGCTAAATTAGAAACAAGTTTTCAGAATAATACATTATTTATGGAACCAGAAAATAATAAGGATTAATTGTATAACATCTCACGTCAAGAATTCATATTTGAATTATTTATCTAAACAAAGATAATCCATAAAATGATTGAAACAAGAAAAGTAATCAACTTTATCACTAAGAAAAAAACGAATGATAGAAATTATATAAATTAGAAAGTCTCAAATCAAAAAAAAAGACAATGATGTAGAGCGTCTAAATTGCCAAAAGCAATAATGCATTTTTTATGATGTGAAATAGAAGTTTTTATTTATAAAATGTCATAAAAATAAAATAATTTCTTTTTATTTACTTCCTTTTCCTAAATACGGAATCAATTTTAAAATGTACGAGACAACCATACCATATGATCCGAACATGATTTTAATAGAAGCTTGCGAAAAATGTATCTACATTGTTAATTAGCTTTTTCATAATTTATTAATGTTGTAAACAACCACATAAATAAATAAATTAGTTGTATTACATCATAAAATTCTGTGAATTTTCAACTAACATAGTATAAATGTTCGAATTAATAATTTTGTTAACATTCCAATTGATTTATCAATAATATTTGGTATTTGTCACGAATGCTTTAAATGGAAAATACAGTATTTGTCAGAAATGTGACAAAATATAGTAATCCTTCCATCGAAAGTTCAAGAGATTTGTGTCAAATGTGATGAATGCCACGAACATATTCGAAAAAAATTTTTGGAATGTTAATGAAGTCATATTATCAAAACCGCAATCTTCCATATTCAGATTTGGTTCCAATTCAAGCGTAGTGTATACATGATCATATATTTAAGTATAAGTATTATATATTAAAAAAAGATTAGCTGTATTGAGTAAAGTATATTTTGTTTAATAGCTAACGTGTAATGTAATTAATTGATTACACATTTCTAAATTTATCATCCATAATATTCTTCAAATATAAATAATTGACCATTTTTAACATGCGCAAATATGTAATGCTTGAAGTTAATTATTGCGTCAGGTCCGATATTTACTTCAAACATAAAGTTATTAGTATTCATGCGTAATATAAATCTTCTGTTACTATTATTCGGTTCATATTTTCAAATAATATCTCTGTATATAAACTAAAGTTGAGAGTAAGTTCATATATTATTTCGGGTGAAACCTGATCAGTAATAACTGTGAATATTTCAATCAGAGTTTAGTATAATCCTTTTAAGAGATCATAAGTGGACTTCGTTATTCTCAAAGGTTCTTTGTGCATTCTGATCTTCTTTTTAAGCGGATTAATTTATATACCATTTCCAACGTCATTTATAGTTTTGATAGAAGGCCTATAAATTAAATGCCTTTTCATAATTCTAAATAAATAAATGAATTAAACTATATTAAAAAAATTATAAACTATGTGTAACTATTTTCAAAGTAATTCCTTAAAAATAAAGGCAACTATTAATATAACATTTTTTAAGGATCTTTATCCTTACACTTATTATTACCACAGGTTTGAACGGCAGAAGGTAAATTCCGCCTATTTTCTTTTGACATAATTCTTATTTTTTAATTACTATTTATCATTTTATTTTATCTTCTCCTGCGTCGAACATTTCAATTTTTTTTTTTTTACTTTTTTTTTAGAAATGAATCCTTTTCTCGATTATTAAGTAAGCTTGTGAAAAAAAGAAAAAAGAAAAATATAAATAAAGGACTTTTCAATGTTTGGATCGATCTATTTGATGAGAACAAGAAACTTCGAAATGTAACGGTTAAATTAAAGTAAAAGGAAAATGTAACTTGAACTCAATGAAATATATCGATACATTTAAATATAATTTTGTAATCAGTCTCATTTCTAGTGTAATTATAACAAGAAATTATGAACTTCGCTTCAAAAGATAGTAATTAAAATTT